TCGACGATTATTTGCTTCAGTGTGTGAGTTCTAAATCATTTGAAATATTAAATATTGGTTTTATACTTCAATTATACTCACGTCCCCACGGTCCTTTTAAGGGCCTTTTTCCCACAGCGAAGCCAACTCCCACCTCATCGTGGTGCTGTGGTGAAACTGCTAATGTTTGGAACATTGAGTGCTTGTCACTTTCATCCATCATTAGTAGGCCAAGAGGAGTGGCTGCGAAAGTCGATTTAAATTGTTCGCTCAAACATAAACCAGATGGGACTGAAAGTAGGGCCATTTGATAGGACACTAATCACATAGACATTCGGTAGATTATAATGTTATGATGAATTGGCCTGAGATGCGATATCTAAGTGAGGCCAAATGTATGCGTCATCGAATTTTGAACAAATATTATTAGGTGTCAAAATAATATAAATTTCTATTTTTTATGATTAACAATGTTCAAATATGCAATGGAGAATGCCATTATGAAACCCTAAATTACAATATTAAATTACAATTTAAGCTGATTTTTAATCGAAGTTTAAGTAGATTAAATCCCCCCCTCCCACAGCAACCCAAAGGAAGAAACCTAGATAGGGAAATTCGCCATTTCGGAAAGCTATTGTTAAAGTGGGTTAAGATCTATCCTCTTTCAATACTCTACATTTTGGAACTTTTGGTTGTTATCGCCAAACGAACGCCTTCCGAAAATCACAATGAATCATGGCATGGACTACCGTTCCAAGCTTATTTAAGTGAATAGAATTCTGATGAAAGATAGGTTGGAGATGGTAGCTATTCGCCAATATTTAATTGCAAGGGTATTTAGGATTGAACCTTGCATGAGAAAATGTGTATCGTTGCATGCCATATTAGTGGAAAGTCGCTTTGCTTAACAGTGGCTTATGCATTGTCCCTTCATTATGTAGGTTGGGCACCAAGTTTTGAACATTCTCTTTTGCAAATCTAATCTCTACTAGTCCTTGACAGTGACGTGGTCTTAAATCGGTATTTATTAGACCGAAACAATGCAAAAAATTGTACAGTGAGTTGGGAAGGCCATCATTCCCTCGAATAACCACAGTCCTCCTCTTTATCAATGAAGTTGAAGACAGTTTTATCCCAATCAATCAATTTGTTTACTGAAATAACAGCCTTCTCCTCTTTCTGGGTAAAGTGAGAATTTCTTATGCTCTAGTTGTCTTTCGTTATTTTATTTTGGCATAACAGCTGAGTTTGAAAAGATAACTTTAGTCAAGTTGGAGTTTAAGAAGAGGGTTTTCGCAAGGCAGAAAAATCACGAATGACACGTATTCTCAAGTATAAGGAGCGTAGTGAATATCCCCGAGAAAAATACGCTCGTTTTCAAGCATATTTTTGTCCTAAAATGAAAACACACTAATTGGGTAAATGATCCATAAATTGAGTTTTTAGTAGTTTTCAGTTTAATGCAAGTCCTAAGAATTGCAGAGTAGACTGGTATACCCTCCTTCCCCCCCCCCCCCCCCCCCCCCCCCCTACTTTTATTCAAAATGGATCAATCTGAGTGGGCAGGGTGAATTGACGGGTTAAGTGCTTGAAACGCAACTCTGTGGAAAATTTCGAACCCTTCTTTCATCGGTCTCATCCCAAGTTAGCAACCCGCCTAGAAGCTACAATTTCATTTTTCATTCTGCTTTTTTCTAATCTAATTGAATTTTAAATGCTATAAAGCCAGATGGGAGACAAACTGCACATTTCTCTGTTTTTTCAATCCCACCTCAAATGAAAGAAAGAATTTTGGCACAAAATTAGCTAAAAACTAATGCTTGTGTTGATGGTATTCAGGTTCCAGCAGAAACTATAGGTTATTCAAATTTTCCTTCAGTAATAAAATTATTATAAAACTCCTTCATTTGTTTATTCAGATTATGCTTTAGGGTATTTTCATTACATAGACTGCGGATTTTAACATCCAGTTCTAATCATAGAGTACGCAAACTATTTTTAAAATTGTTATCAACTCAAAAATAATTTGGACCGATTTATTTACAAGGGGTGTACGATAGACTTACCTCCACGTGGTGCACTGTGGGCAACGTATACTCATACAGCAAAAAAGTCTCTTAACTGGCAGTTGACTTCTGAGATCAAACTACCATCACCCCACTGAATGTCTTATTCGACTACTTTCACAGTACTCACCTCGCCTTTTTCTACCTTTGTGCCTGTCTCTTTTACATCTTTGAAACACACTTCTGTCCCCCCCTCTCGACCTTTTTTCACTTGGATGTTCCTCCTCCTCCTCTCTGCGAAGCCTGAAGTCAACTTAAGGGCTAATGATGACCATCAAGATGCCTGCCATCTGATAAAAATATTATTTATTTACAATGACATTTGAATAAAATAAAACTTTTAGACTTACCTCGGTAAGCTCTTTTCTAAGTATATCTAACATTTGGTTTCGTGCGTGTTGGTTAGAGATATCTTCAAATAGTTTTATGGGCTCCTGCCTTAAATCCAACATGCTTCGACTTGGACAATCTTGATATTTTGCTAAAAATACAGAGGAAGGTGAGATAATTACAAAATATTTTATAATTCTCGATATTGATCTCAAGCCACTAGCAGGCAGATACTGTGTTCCTTTAGGTCATGGGAGAAAGTACCCTTCGTATGTCAGCCCAAACCGGTCATGAAAAGCATTTAATGCAAATAATTATTTTCAAAATTTCCGACATAGTTATAAATGATTTCAAATTCTATATGTAGTAACACTCTGGTTGCAATATTTACCAAACTCAGCATCTCATACCACTTTGAATTTTAAGAAATGTGTCTGAAAGATAACAGGACATTAATCATTCTGGTAAAACCCACTTATGTGTTAATTACGTACGCTACATAATAGATTTTCTGATCGTGGCTAGATATTTCAGCCAAAGGAAAGCAAGTTGACTAACGGATAAAGGAGAGTTGAAAGTCCAATTAAAATCAACTTCTTCGAACACTTTTAGAGCTCTGGTTATGGTATCCGACTAAGCAAATGGCCTGTAAGATATGGGCTTTGCGGTCTGGAAACAATGTAGAACTAGAGTTTACGTTGCCTCTTCAAAAGTCACTTTTCATAGCAAAGTTGTAAATGACATTTCCATAAGAGATGTTTTATTAAATTAAAGTCTACAAAATTAGGGTACTTAGTGCCCTTGATTATCGTTATGATCATGGAATAGCCAGCCCGTAGATACTGCGATAGAATAGCAATCTTTATGAAGACCATTAGCAAGCAATAAAGATGTTTTTTGTTTTCCAACTCAGGTCTTAGAAGATGAAAATTTAAGTACCTTTAAATAGGATTTAACACTGTTGGCAGTTTTATGTTATAGCAACCCTGCCAAATCAGATTTTATTAGCGTCTTCGTAAATTTTCCTTAATCATAAATTTTTGCGAATCTTCCCTTTATTTGCATAGGTACCTGAAGACTGGGAGCAAATTTTTGGATAAAAGAATTAAAAATATTTTTTGTAGAAGCCCAAAAGTGAGGTTTTTTTGTCAATGTCTGCCTGTGAATTGTCTCAGAGAATTCTATCCATCAAGATCTTCACATATCATGGCTCTGAGAGTGTGCAAGTCCACTGTTAGCATTATCGTAGAATGCCATAAGTCAACTGTTCTTCGAACACCAAAGACACTTTTGCGACAAGAGAAGTGGTTTCGAGACGAACATGATAAGTGAAAAATGAGGATATTCTAAACGAATTATGAATGCCATATTACTGAATGCTAGAAGCGCAAGTCAGAAACATAAGAAACGGAGATCGTTAGTATTGTCACTAAAAGGTAAAGAAATTTTGATGGGATATATTCCTCTTTTAACATTTGATGAACAATGACATGGCATTTTTGTAATTGTTCAAGATGCAAGTTGGCTCAGAATAAATCTTGCCACTGGTGTACCTACCGTGATTTTCAGGCTGGTCTTTATGAACTGAGTTGAGCCCGCTTCGAGTTGATCTCTTCACAGCTCTTTTACAGTGGGAACAAACGATTTTCTTATCCGTCTTTTCCTTTTCCTCAAACTCCTTCCACCTTTGAGCCAAGCGTTCTTCTTTCTATTGTGAGTTAGAGGATTTAATTTATGTGAGCAAGTACTGCATACCTTCTCAAGTTGCCTCTCTCTTTCATCAAGCACACTACGGCGTTCCTCCAATTCCTTATCCACCTTCCTCTGCTCTTCAGCCAAGCGTTGGCATTTCGCATCAATTTCTGTAACCGCAGCCTGAGTACCATTCAATGCTGCTGCTCTATTAGTCAATTCCTCGTATCGCCTATCCAATTCGTCTGATCGTTTACAAAGCGTCAACTCCCTGTTTTGTAAGTCACCTCTGATGCGGATATACAAAATTATATAGTTCCTTGGCAGTATTATTTTTATAAGACTTGTAATGTGGTCATGGTAACTTTCGCAAACCTGACAAAATCCAAGTGATGCTGTGTCTCCGTTAGTTTGATCTCATTCAAATGGAGTTGGTGAGTACGCTCGTCTAGAGCATGGCGCTCAATAAGAAAGGCCTCTTTAGCACTCTCTAGTTCCTCCTTAAGCTAAAATAACAAATATGAACGATAAGTAAGCGCTTAAAAAATGTAAGATAAAATTTGTTCGTTGTTAAGTGGTGAAGATCTCAAAATTCATTTTAGATACTCTTATCAATCATTTCTATGGAAAATGGCTCCCACGATGAATCAAAGTAATAAGACAGGAAAAGTGAATTTTGTTGGAACAATTCTAAATTCTTAACGAAAAGGTAGTGCAAACATGGGTGGAAACTTGATTTATGTCCCAAAAGGTTATGGAAATTGTAGACTTTTCACTTGAAACAATCAAAAAAGTGTGTAAAGCTTCCCATTTAAGACCAAAATCCAAGTACATGTAAATGTGCTTAGAGCGTTATAACTACGAACACTTTAAGTGATGATTGCTTTTTTTATTTGAACTATACTACTCATTTTACTTCAAAAAATTTTTGAGGAAGGACGTTCTTGATTCCGGTGGATTTCAGTTCATCACACTCGCGCACTGTTCAAGCTTAATAAACCAAGTGATGAAGATAATTGTTTACACGGTTTAATTTATTCATCTCTTCCTCCTTCTTATTTTTCCACTTGCTCCTATCCGCTTTCAGCTCTTGTTGTTCCTCGAGTGCTGATTTGTGTTCTGAAGCCAATCGAGCTTGCGCTTCACGATGTTCTTCGAGAAAATTCGCCTTGTAAAAGTGGAGTGAAAAAAACATGTTAGAAATTTTATTTTATTCTGTTTTCAAGGTTTTATGCACTCACAATGAGTTTTTGAAGTTCATTGCGTTCCTTTCCGGCGTGTTCGATGAGAGCACGTCTATCTTCTTCCATACCAATCTGAAGTTTACTTAGACGTACTTGCTCCTGTTTCAATGCCCAACGATCCTAAAGAAATGTGGGTATTTTACGAAAAATAATTAACAAAAAACCTACCTCCTCCAAGGTTTTATTCTGCTCTTTCATTTGCACCTCCAACTTGCTGATTGCGCCGGTCAACATAAGTTGCATTTTTTCGATTTCCTTTTCCTGAAAAGAAATAGTAATTCTAAGTCTTACGAAACGTAGAGTTATTCGCTTTGTGTTGCATTATTTCTTTCTTCATACACAACTACCTTTTGTTTGGCTTTAACAACTAACGCACAGGAGCACATTTATTACTCACTGGTGGGGAATGCCTGTCATGTTTATGTTAGTGTCACCACGGTTCAGATATACGAAATACGCCGTTTTTGTTTATGCTACTCAGTGCTCAAATGTCTGCTTAAACTTGGAGTCTACTTAAATAATATCAGTAGATTTAAATTAATTGTTCTCACTCGATCACAGAGACGTTCTTCTCCCATTCGCAAAACTTCCTCCCGTAAATCTAATTTAGCGGATCTTTGAGAAAATGCAGTAGAGTGCTCAGCTTCCGCATGATTTAGTTCCTTAATGGCAGAAATAAGTTCAGCAAATAGGGATTTGAGTGCTTCAGCGGTCGGCTGCATTTCATTTAGAGCACCAGCCTCTATTGCTTCAGCTTTTCGTAAGTTTTCTATTGTCTTAGCATGCTGTTCAACTAGTGCCTCTAACTCCATGCTATAAAAAAGATACATTTTTAATCGCTTTTCAGACATTAAGTGCTACTCCCTATGGAAGTACTTACCTGTGTTCCCTTTGCAAATTGGCAACGATTTTGAATGTGTCGTCTTTAACAGTTCCAACGGTAGATGTGAACTCCGTTCGGTTTGTCTCCAGAAGCTCTTCTAATTGATTAATGCGAGTATTGTAATGCGTTGAACTAAATTCAAGCTCCCTTTTTAAACTGTAAATAAAGCCATTAAAATACTTTGTCAACCTCAGTGCACGTAAAGGAATTCAAGAAGGTGGTTTATAAAATCTAATTTTATACTCGTGGGCTATGTTATAATACGAACTAGCAGAAATTTGTACTTACAAGAACGGTCTCTCTTAAAACAGTGATGATGACTTTTTGAAAATCAAAAAATCCTAATAATTTCAAAGAAAAGTGACCATTTTCGTAAGTTTGGCACAACCTATGTTAAAAGCAACTCAAATATTTTGAGCTAAATTGAGAGAATATTAACTTGATTTGTTCTTTCGTCCTACACATACGTCAGAGCGACATTTGGAAACGCTCACTTTCCGATCCAAGCGATCTATTCGGCTGCCAGTACTTTTGTGGACTTAATTTTCCCTGGTAATTTAGAGTTTTTCAACAAACTGTGTCTCGATACAGGCTGGCTTTCTTCCGTCCCCGTTTCGTAGTAATAATTGCAAAAAATTATATTCTATGCCAGCTGAATCCTCTGAAACCAGGCAATAATTAATTAGATTAGCCCTTTATATATAAATAAATATTTCTTCGCAACATTAGGTTCTAAATATTACAGTTCCATCACAACGAGGACAACTTACCTTGATTCTAAATCCATTGGCCCCAACCTTACATATGTGTAGTTGCCAAGGTTGGCTTGGCATGTCCCCATTGTCCTAAAGTAAATGACAAATTTGTCCTTATATTCCAACGCCACCCCCAACCCCTCACCAACACAATTCCCTACCCCGACGTGGGATACGAGTTTCAGAATTAAACTTAACCCAGAAATCCTTACATCCTTCTAGCCACAAATTTAATGATCTTTAATTCTCTAAGGTTTATCACCTGAGTAATCATGCTCTGATTTAACATTCGCTTGCTCATCTCCAACCCCCCCCCCCTCCCTCAACTTTTAAATGGAGTAACCAGGTGAAAACGTAATAAGTGATATCAACAAGTTGTAAGCGCGTAGCTAAGTATTAGTTTAATTATATACCAAATTACAACAGCGGGATAATAGTAGCAAGAAGAAAGAAGATCAAACAGTGAACGAGGTCGATATTAGACAGATATTAAATACACAGTGAAATAAATGCAAACCTACTGCTGTTCCCGCCTTTGAGAATTCTCCTCAAGCAATTTCATTCTGGACCTGCAAAATAGACAGTACAAACGCGTTAATACTACATGTGTTGTCACGGCAACAACTACTGTTTAACCAATTAGAACTCAGCGTGCATCTCTTAACCCACTCTTAACCTCCTCTCTATCGAATGCATTAAGCAAACGCCTTTCGCATCTTTTGGTTCTGAATTCAAAGCTAGAGCCCATTGCTGTTTCAACGATACCTAGATATTACACATTTCTGAAGTAAAATTGAACACGCAACCAAAAAGTTGAAAGTTTCGGGTGTATCTAAAAATGTGCGTAGTTGTGACTATCTTTAAACTACTAATTTTGCGGTGAAGCACTTTCACACTATTAATTTATTAACACTCACTAATGCCTTGAACGAAATATATAAGTAGTTAAGAGAAGTGGCAAGCGAATTCTGCATTAATTAAATTAACAAACTGTTTCATGAAAAGGAAAGTTAGATAGTGGCCGAATAAGTTAAGTGCATTTTAAGGTAAATTAGAATTAAATAATATAGATTTCGGGACATGGTGTGATGTTAAACCAGGGAAGAGGAGTTCACTATGGTGTAGTAGGCTTTAGTTGATTTTGGAGGATAAAAAGGAAATACGTTTATTTACAAAGCCTTCATTCCTGATAAATGTCCAAACAAAGTTAGGTCACTTCAATTGGTGTAACCTTAACCTCTTTACCAAACTGTTGTCCGTGTTCTGAAACTAATTCTCTCAGATTCTTCCATTTATTGCTAATGTGTGGCCGTAACTGAATGCGTTAAAAATTAGTACGATAGTGTGATTTGAATGATGCTGGAACATGTAAAGCCAAATCAGCAAAACCTTCGGAAAGCTTACGCATATGATTGTTCGAGAAGCTTAATTTCTTCTTTATGACAATCTTTAGCCATTTTCAGCAAATTGCGCATCGAGTCCAGTTCATTTTGCATTTGCCTGACTTTAGCTGCTGGACCATCTCCATCAAGTGTTAAATTGGAAGTCTGCAACGAAAGGCGTTAAGTTATGGAATAGGAATTACAAAGTATTCCTGTTCATCTTGACCTAGTACGAAGAGCCTGTTTGGAATTTTCAAATATAACCCACCTACCCACGTTGATTTAATGAGGTTTATTTTATACCAATTCAACACGACCCTCAAATTAACCATGTCCAAATAAGTTAGAGTTTATTGTAGCAACAGAAAGTGCGTGGAACCCATACAACATCTTGGAAACTTAAAAAATTCTTAGCCGACACACAACAACAGTGGGAATAATAAATCGGGCATGTTTTGAGTGCACTATCCAAAATTCAAGAACGCTTAATTAAAAGCAAGTGAAGTCTCTCATGGAGATGAGTGTCAAGGTTCAGAATAGGGGATCAAGGAATCTCGCGCGGTTCTCCCATCAATCTACAAAAATATGGTAACTGGAATCCATTGTCCAATAGATAGAATTCTTAGATAGGACCTCAAGATCCTGATTTTGCAGAGTATAACAAATTTCTCGCTATATCATATCACCGGTATTATTTGTCATAATGTTTAATTAAGGGTAAACATTTGGTCATATGTGGTAAGCATTATGCTTACCAAACAGCTTGATTTTTGAGGCTCACAAGAGAGTGATCGCTGCTTAAAATCACGTAACGTCAATGAGCTCTGAGTCTAAAATATTGAATATTTTATTAAATACAAATTCCCACCCCCCGCCCTCCAACTTTAACCACAATATTATTCAACAGCAAACTCACATTACACTTTTCTGAAAGAATAAACAATCCACAATCATTGACAAGTCATAAATGATTCGTATTTCTATTTAAATTCAAAACTAACCGATTGAATTGCCTCTAGGATGTGATATAAATTTCTTTTCTGCGATGGGTTCATTTAATTCAAAAGCATCAGCCCTATTTGCACTGCAGACAAAAAAGATCAAATATAAGATAGGTACAGAAAAATAGACTGAACGAACCTATCGTATCTACAGAGCGACACTTTTTCTAAGCAATCAAAACCGTTTTCCGGTTCAGAAGGAGCCGTTTGAGGTCTTGAGCCTTCAGCAGTTCTGAGAAGCAATTTTGTGGTCACGGGACTTGGTAAACACTTTATCTTAAAGATAAGTTTATATGATATTAATTACAAAACAATAGAATTAATTTAACATTGTAAAGCTTTATATTCTATTGAAAAGGGTTGACAACTTCTGAGAATTCTAAGCTTGGTGACCGTTTTCTTTTTAAGAGTTAACGTAGAAACGGACAAATTGAAGATCTTAGAGATGACAAATAAATGAAGAGCCTGTTATGATAATCAAATAAGGGAATTTTACCGATTTCTGAGGCAAACGATTGGCAGGAGTTGATTGCAAGTCGAACTCATCATCATGAGTCAATAAAGAACTCAGAAGGCTTTTTCGAGAATTTGAGGACAAAATGCCTGGACCAGTTCTAGAATTCAATGGTATTTCAGGTATCTGAAAATTCGATTTTTTGTCAGACGGGGAGAAAGCACTGTTATTCATATTTATGTTATCCTGTGTCATTTCCTCAACCGAATGTTTAAATGATGCTAAAGCAAATTATTGCAAACTGAAAATTCGTTAGTACAAATTATGAAGTCAGGCAATGTAAATATCTAACTTTGCTAATAAAGTTAACCAAACAAAGTGATTTGCGAAAAAGCATAAGTATTGCTTAATCGTATCTTAGGTATTGAAAATACTCAAGAGAGTCCATAGTCGTCTGTCGGAAAATGGACTGTATTAAGAATTGCAGAAAAGACTTAGACAGTGATAAATATCATTAATCCCATTTCCTCTTTCTACTTATGGCAACTTAAGATCGTTAAATGATAGGTAGGTCATATACTTAAAAATTTCAAAATTATTCTAATAAGTGTTAATGTGCTCTTTTATGTTAAAAATGTCTAAAATGACAGGAGATTGAGTTCTAATAAATTATCACACAGTTGCAAAGGCATTCGCAGTTGTTTATAAATAAATAAAAAAGTTATTTATTATAAACCGTGCCGATCGCAAATAATCCGGAAAATTTCGAGTTTGGTTTCTAGATTAATCCTTTCAAGCAATTTATCTATTTCCGGTACTTAGGTTGATTTAAGCAATTACATGATGTATGGATCCATAACTGGACATGTCCAGTGATTATATATAATAATGCATTTATGATTATAGTAATTAAATACTAACCCTTTTCAATTAATAATATTTCGTTTTTAATTGTTGAAGGCTAATTTGAATAAGACGGCAAAAATGTAACATTATCGATGTTAAATCAACATTACTAACAAGACATCAAGCAAATATTAAGAAAAATCAAAACGGTCATCATAAATCAGATTTATATAAAATTTCTGAAATATGGAAAAAGTGGCTCTATTAAATGCGCAACATGTGTCTCTATTGAAACGCGAAACAAATAACCGCTAATCCAATTCAAGGCTGCAATTTTATCATATCAATTGCCTATTGTCGTTTATAATTAAAAAAATTAAAAGCTGATTCCCCGAAGTTAAATAGGCCTATTTTCTCTATTTTTAACATCATTCATGATATTTAAAAAGTTTATCGTCTGATCAAATAATTTAATGAGTTGTCACTTCGCGTAATATTTTGCAGAGATACTATTAGTAGCTAAGGGAAATTGCAAGGCATATAAAAGCAAAACTGCCAATTCCTAAGATTTAATAGTCAGGAGAAAACTGTGGGAGTTTACATTTTTTGAGATTACATCGTTTCAGTTGTTAAAATAGGAATGTTTTTAACTGACTATTTTTGCTATTTGTCTATGTTCTTTATTCGCATTCTTAACCGTTTGAAATAGACTTTAACTACCATGCCTACGCCAGAACGTCAAGCAACTAACGTAGCTTGTGTTGATTGTTCCCGTTATCAAATATTTTAGGGGCACAATACAGAAATGGAATTCAATATCTAGTATCCAACTGATATCTATGCAATCTTATATGACCCTAAGGTGACAACAATCTTAATGTTAATTGCAAATATTTCTTCTTCCAATAGCACTATTTGTGGTTATCATTTATTCAATAAAGGTGATCTAGAGTTATCTAGCAGTTTGAAACAAATGCACTTTACCATATCAGAATTTCAAGTGGCTTGTTACGAATCTTATAGTCAATTTCAAAAGAATTTTGTTATTACAAGCAAATATGAAAATTGTACGTCAGGAAATGCATAAATCTTCGAAATAGTGGTATTTTAACGTTATTATGCTTTCACTTGGCAAAAATTTGAAAAGAATGCAACGATTGAGAACAGTCCTTGCATTTCCGAATTTGGAGATATACTCCATCATAGAAATTGGCTTCAAAGTAAAAATTCTTGACGCACTGACTTTAGGAGACTTCATGAAAGTCCGAATCCTTAAACTTTACAAGTGACCTCAGTCTGAGCTCAAAAATATAATTCAAACAAAATTATTAATCATAAAGAATTGAATGGAAAAGGTCAACTGCCAAACTTTTTGAATCGATGGGGAATAATATTTGTACCTCTTACAGAGCTTTATTATTTCCCGACAAACGATTTTGTTGTCAAATAGACTGGAACGGTATTTACGTTTCTAAAGCCACGATTTATACTTATTTGAAACAAATTAATACCGTTATTCCGAATTCACGTTTCTCTAGACACTTGTTCATGATAAATTGGTATTCGTCAGACCAATTTTTTCTCAAAATTCAAACTTAAGTTCCAATTGCATAAATTTGTGCAAGTCACACAAGCAGCGAAGATTGATAGCTTAAGAAATCTTTACTTCAATAAACTTAGGCATGGTACAAGTAAAAATCTTCATAATAACTAATTGCTAACACGGTTTCCTTCAATTCGGAATATAAAGTTTTGTCAATTCATATTACCCAAAGTTGTGGCAATGAGGTGAGGGAGGGGGAAGTAACAATGTGTGTAGTTAAGAGAATGGGAAAAAGGAAAACGCATGAGAAAGAGCAAACGAGATGGCAAACACGTCAACGTAGAGTAAATATCGAACAGACCGATTAGCTGAGTCATAGCGAGGCAGAGGGAAAATATCGATAATCATTAAAATGACGATTTTAGGAACAAACGGAAGAGGGGGGGGGATTATACACTATGACCGTACTCGGTTCGTTCAAACGTTCAAACACACAAAAATTCCATAAAACCAAAACAAGTTGATATGAAAGCAGGAAATAACGTTTCAGCTTATATGAAATTTACAAATTTCAATATCTTCTTTCATTCCAATTAAATATAGATGCCAAACAACTATCTCCCTCCGTCCCTCCGTTCAGATTCTAGATTTGTGTTTGAAAGGGCATAGCTTCCAGTTAGACACCAATGATGAATAGAGAAAAGTAGGCAGTATAGACATTGGTCTTGAAACGAAGAGAATACTTGAACATTTAGCAAAGTTGGAAGATGATTTTGTAGCAGTCATACAAGACATCGATTTTATACGACAGACTTACACTCATATGTAAGTTCATACACCGATTTAAATTCGATTGAAAACGAAGGTAAGAGTACACCAGAATTTACAAAGTTCGATAGAACAGACTATTGCAGCACCTCCATCTTTAGAGTAGAACAAATTTTAGGTAGCAAATATGACAATAACTTAACTGTAAATATCTTTTTTGACTGCATATACTCAACATTACTCCCGATTATCACTATCGTTACTCAGATACAACACGTTTTAATGTGGTACTCATTTTGGTCGCGTATTATCTATTTTTCAATGCACCCTTGATAGAATGCCGACAGATGGGACTCAGAACTACAGATTTATTGTTTTGTCAAGCTTTTATTAATTGCATGTTGCCCATGAGTCGCCCTTTATGCCTATCAATACATCGGTGCTCATCACGCCGTATCATGGAGACTAACTATACTCCTATATAAAGCTTTTTTTAATAAAGGGGATTTTTGATAACTCCGTCTTATTTATATGAGCTAAAAGCGATATTGCGAGTAAAAGTGGACAGGAATCATAGTGAAGAAACTGGAATTCCTATCATAACTGCTGCATAGAAGATTCCTACTTTGCAAAATGCCTATTTACCCATATTACTGCTAGTACTGAAAGAGGATATTTGTACGGCATTTCATATTAAAAGTATCAACTTATTCTCACACCTTTTGACAATTGCATCAGTTAGTACTTTCAGAATTAAAAGATTGTGCACTCTACCTGAGGCTACACCAGTCGGAGCCAAGACATCACAATTAACAGAAAAGTATCTGAATTTGGAGGATAAAATAGGAGAAACGACTAGGTTACCAAGTTATTTGATGATTTGTGACGATCTCTAACCAAAAATTGCACAAACGGTTGTGAAAAATAAAATTTTAGCCATCAAGGCGACAAATTAGCGCAAGATTTCATTGTCATTGCCCACAGTAAAGGGGCGTACTAAGGAGGCCAAACATAATACTCTGAAGTGCACTTGAGCTAAGATTGTTTCATCACCATACTCTTCGATTATCGATTATTGGACTTTGAAACCTACACCAAAATAGACCATCACTAGTAATTACAACTTTATTTAGCCATATGGCCAGTCACTTATCCAAATGCCCTATTGCATTTAATCCAATTTATTTCCAGGTAAAAAAGTACTCTTTGACAAACACTTTTTCGCCTTCCTTTACGCCAGAGTCTCGAATGCGCATTCGAAAGTGCTGAGGGCTGGGAAAATATCGAGTGGCTATTCATAGCTAAATTAGGACCTTTCCTTTATCGCAATTTATTTACTTGTCTGCTTGCAAAAATAGAAAAGAGTAAGTAATCACATTGGAATATTCCAATGTTCAATTGTAGCGATTTGATCATTAGATATCTGCTTTAATAGAGCAAGAGGTTGCGGAATTTGAATTCATTTCAGACCTCTAAGTGCCACGAACAGCTAGATGAAACGAACAGTTATTTAGAAGTAGCAGAAATCGTCACCATTCATGCCACTAAAGGTTTAGCGAAAATTACACTATTACATATTAGAATGGCAAAAATTAGAAAATATGAGGGGTCTGTAACAACTAAGATACAACCAATATACCTCTTAACCTTTTACAATTAACTACTTCTTTATTGCTGGACCTTGTCATAACCCCGATGCTGCAAGTAATTCATCCTTTTATTTTGATTTGAAAGCCGAATCTTGTACCTCCAAAAAATAACTCATTTCCAACGTGAACGTATTGGATTTTATTAGATCAAACGAAATAAAGAACTTAGATAACTGACGTCATTAAAAGGAAAAAAGCAAACGAGGTCAGGCAACACAATGAGTCATCCATTCCTAAAAAATTGACCGAAAGAATATAACGCAAAGGACATATCTCTCAAGCATTTAGCGTTGGATACTAAGCACTGACAAATATTTCAGAAATAGCAAGAGAGGTCACATTCTAACACAAAGAAGCAAGCCGCAAGGGGCCTAACAACAATAACAATTACCATCCCAACGCTTGGTTAATACAAAAAAACGGAATAGGTGACTATACTAAAATATATTTGCAACGATTTAGTCAAGCTTTGGCACATGGGCTTCCCAATTTTTTTGAATGTCCTCCCATTCTTCATCTTCAGTGGCAATAAGGCCAATAGGAGCGTTAACCTTGTTAATGGAGTGCTCAGGTTTCTACATTATAAAGCATTATTATGTTATAATAGTTTGAATCGTAGAAGATAGTATTTAAAGAGACAAATGAAGCTTACTATAATTTTAGCCAAAATGCCCTCATCTTCAGTGTCCAAATCAATCTCAGCCTTGTCCGTCTTAACTTGACAGAGAAGATCACCACTGCATATCTCCTCACCTTCCGTTTTGTACCATTTGGTAATCTCACCCTCATTCATAGTGGGAGATAAGCTGGGCATTTTGATAATAATGGGGCCTGAAAAAATACTCTAAGTGATATCAGAGGTAAGTAACCTACACATCACACGAGCATTTGTATGAATGAGCAAGGAAGAAACTTTGGGAGCTACAGCGAACAAACGAAGGGCCTTGGCAAACATTCCGCACAAAGCAAACGAATAGAGATATAATGAAAGTGCGGCTAACAATTTCTTCTGATACACTAAGTGAATAAAACAAACCCGAGATTAAAAAAAACAAATTTGAATTTAATCTAACATTAAAATATTATTAAGGTATTTCGCTATAAGAAATGCCATTAATTAATAAAAATGAATAATTAAGAAATTTTGATAAATATTTTTTCATGCATAGCTGAAACTATGCTTATAAATAATCAAAAAGTAAAGCTCAACATGGCTGTTAAAGTCAAATTTTAGTCTTTTATTTAAATAATTTTAATTTCTATTTTGACATAATCAGTACTTTATTTCAATATAAATTTACATTTACACTATAGTGATTAGTGGGGAGGATTCGGGACAAATTTTGTTGATATATTAACAAACGCTTTTAACTAGAATAAATTTAAATTCCATTGCCTTTTATATTTCAAGTACAGCCAAGCTTGGAGATCTTGGAGAAACTATTTCTTGAAACACGTTTCAGAATACTTAGTGACCATTACCTCCAATCATTCAAGCAAATCATACAGAATGTAAACATTATGAAAAAAACGTGAAGATTATTCGTCGGGGGATTATTTATATAACAGCATCTTAAGGCTCACGCTCCATTCAATTTCTAGATTATTTCTTATTTTGGGCGCCAATGCATTTTCATTCTTATTTATGGGTTCAATTTACGTCTGTACAATGTAGATTACTCGATGTTGGTTGGATTTGTGGATGTGAATAAAATGTCTAATTGTCTAGTTAATCGTTGTGTCTGTTAACCGATGTTGTATATCGTCCCATTGTTCAGCAATAATTCTTTTCGCTTGTATTGGCTTCTACCCTTTCAGCTTTTAAAGTATAAATTGACACACTATTGTTAACCATACCTGACAGAATACAAAGCAAGTGGAAATCCAAGGTTGATCATGGATTACCCATAAATATTTCGGAGTTATTGCTAATGCACCTTTAAAGATTTGATCTTTATGATTGTAGTTTAACTGAATAAATTTATTCGTTTAATTATAAGGATGGTTTTTATTATGCAAAGTGAATTCCCAAACGTAGTTATGAGGAAATAGTGTATCTTGAGTTTGTGGGGATCTGAAAAAATTGAATCAAGATAATCACCCCCATCTCCTTCAATCTCATAAGAACAATATGTTATGAGTTTCTGAAAGCTCATTTGGAACCAATATGAAAGCCAAATTTAGATATGTAACTTTTGTCAAAAAATAAAGGCTGTCACTCGATGATTGTTTAAATGCTGTCGTATTAGATCTAATTTAATACACAGACGAAATAATATTACCATCATGGAGTGAGCGATAGACTTACCTCCACGTGGGGCACCCTAAACAACGTATCTTCGTACGGCAAAAAGTCTATCACTCGGCATTTGATTTGACTTCGATATATAATGATTAGCTTGAAAAAAGGCTATAAGAGAAATCGCCCTCGTCAGGGCGAATCACAACGTCTACAGATCCTCCAGTGGAATGCTGGAGGGATGTCACAGGACAAAAAGATCCAAGTACAGAAAATCCTACAAACCCATGATTTAGACATTTTCACAATTATGGAAGCAAACATTTTGGATGACAAACTGAAGTACTACCAATTCCCAGATTACACCATGTACCTTCTACCTAAATACCGGCAAGTTGCAAGTGGAATTCTAACTGGAGTAAAAGATGGCCTCACCTCACACTACGACCTAATCAAGAGTATGGGCTCGA